AAAAATAGAAACAAAACAACCAATAGGCTGGACTTGCTGGTATTAAGTCTCATCCATCCTTCTGTCTGACACCCTTAAACCTACCCTAGGCTTTCGATATCCGAGCTGTTCTTCGTCCCTGAGTCGACCCTACTGGCGGACAACATGTGACAGTGCCCTGCCGTCATGTTGTTATACATTTCCGACGCGCCCTTTCAGACACTTGGGAAGAAAAACAAGAAGGAACGTGCGCGACCAATTAACGCGCAATTTGCATGCGGAGAGAGAACAAATAACCCCACTCGCAGCCCTAGGCAAGCCTCGTGTTGTGATCCTCCGTACGTAAGGACCGAGAGCCTCACTTAAGTTTGGACACACATACCCAAGCCGCACCCCTGGCATCGCCCCGTCGATGTTTTCTCACGGATAGAAAGGAGGAGTCGACATGCTGGTTACGGTGAGGCCCTAATTTGAGCAGTAACCGGGGCCTGAGGCTGTTGGATTTTCAATTGGATGCCGAGGATCTGTGAAATCACGACTCGTAGGCGACGTGACCACCAACCCACGTAAGCGTGTGAATATCTTACAACTGCTTGTGAGATAAGTGAAAACAAAACTACTCAAAAATCAAATCGCCATCAATCGCACATAGCAAGATGGTAGCCTAAAATTCTGATTTTTCTTCTGTTTAACTTTGTTTTATAATTTCAGAAATTACCCTCAATTCACACTGGTGAATAATAATTATAATTTCTCAATGTTTGTGTAAGTGCGTTTAAGCGGACGACAAACCCTCTGACCGATATTGCAGGGTTAATCGAGCGGGGGATTCATTGATGATTCTATGCCCTCCGGTTCCATGTCCAATATTTTGGTTTCTGGTCTAAAGAGAAATGGTCTGGCATAAAGCCATCGCTTACTGCCTCTGATCCGCCGAGACGAGAGTTTGAGCGGACCGCGGAAGCAGCGCAGCGCAACGGGATCCAGCGACCGTGTGCTCGCAATCATTGACGGGGTGAAACGTAAGCCCCGGCCTGTCTGGCTGCTCGGCTTGATGTGATGTCTCACGCCATTCACGGCTCAAGCACGCGGTGATGGTGGGCTGGAGCGATTGATGAGGGGGAGGTGGGAGCACCTCTGGCCAGTATGTCCTCACCGCCTACCTTGGATTTGCAGCCCCCCCCCTCCCCTCCATGAACGCTGTCATGTTGATGTGGATGCCGTTCCCCCTGGGCTCCAACATCGATTATCTGTCTTGACCCTGGGGCGGTCCTACGCTGCGTCCGGCCCCGTGTGGCTTTGATAGACAAGCACACCACACACCACTCCGAGTTCAGATCCACAACCATCTCCCTTCAGATCCCATAACAGTGAATTCAATGACTCACTCCAGTCGATTACTCCTACTACACATTAAAGATGTCACCGTCAGAGTTTCTCCTCGTATTCTTAATTGTGTTGCAAGAGCGACCTTGATATCAAGCCGGCAAACAAGTGAAGATGTCATTCAAATTTAATTATCAGTTTCAGGAGAATACACACGGCACGAGAGTAATGGTTAATAAAGGCTCCTTACAACATTAAATTTAAGTCTTACGAAAATACAACACAGAAGTTCAAGAAACAAGCTACTTGTGCGATTTTACTCAAAATATTTTACTCCAGACTGAAGTCCCTTCCACCTTCCACAATATGAAAATCTCAGTTCCCAAACCCCGTAGGCCTCAACGTTTCTGTCCATGCCTAGACCATCGGGTTATTGTGTATTGTGCTCCAACTTTGGGCTTAATAATTCAAAATCCTCCAAGTATATATATACATGTATTTTATTTTCATTTTCTTGGCTGGTGTTTTTATAACTGGCGAAATTTTTGACATTATTGAAATTTTGAAAGACGTCTCTTCAGGTACCATTTCTTTCGTAATTTTTTTCCTCAATCGGCTTATTTATCTCATCTAATAGGCCTATTCCTCTATTTTTTAAGTGTAGATTTTGTATTTGAAAATCAGAACTAATGGGAACGTACATTGTTGATTGCAGGCAGAGGATTTAACTCCAAACAATACCGCAATGCCAAATAGGAGTTAAATGCAGGGTGTTCTAACAGAAAAGTTGAGCAAGCAGATATCCTATAATTTCTCAAAACCTACATAACATGAGTATTTCATCTTGATGGAGCATATTAATTATACACTTGTGTACATTCAGTAAAAATTCCATGGAAATCCGTACATGCAAACCAAAGATCTAACAGATTAGAAAAGGCTGTGGGTTTTTCACCCATTCCAATGGGATGGGATTTACACCGTTAACTTAATTTACATCAGAGTGAAAAGGCCCATGACAATCTGATGCACTGATATCACTGTGTAAATCCCATTGGAGCGGGTGAAAAACCCATAGCCTTTTTACAATCTGTTAGATCTCTTGTTTTGCATGAACGGATTTCCATGGCATTTTCACTATTTATACCCAAGAGTACAATAAACGTGCTCCATCAAGATGAAATACGTGGTTTTGAGAAATTAAAGGATATCTGCTTGCACAACTTTATTGAGACACCCTGTATATTTCTCCCACGCGTTCGTACCTGTGGGCGCTTAATGGAATACCTTTTTGTCAAAACGATTTCTTTATTTAAAAAAAAAGGACTAAAAAAGAGTTTAAAATATAGAGTAACGCAATATTCATTATGAAGGCATGCTGGTTGTTATTTCTTCTCTGTAAACATGAAAGAGAATTACAAGGTTTTTATTTTTTCTTCCCTACTAGCTGAGACAGAATCTTCAGCTACAAGGTTGGAGGCTCACTTTTCTTTGACGCTCATAGCGCATTACTATGATTTACGTTTTGCAGGATCATGCCACTGCCTGAGACTCCGCTCATCTGGCAAGTCGTATATCTCAATCTTCCTCGTCGTCCAGAAGTTAAACGAAACCCAAGCACTATGATGAAACCACAATCTGTAAGCCAGGATTATAGTGGATGCCTGATTTTCAAGGCGAGGCTGATGGAGACGATGTTTGCGAATACACCATGAGGTGAAGTGAGTGAAAAAATCTTAAAGAGAAGTATTGTTCTTATTTAGAGGAACCAGACTTAATATCTCTCAATGTATATACTCTTTAAAGTGTAGTCACTTCACAGCTCAAATCGAGAACCTCTTCATTTGTACTTGCTAGTATGTAAAGCGTCAAGTCAAAGTAATGTTAAACATTTTCGTAACTTATAGAGAACTGGTGAGCGTCACAGACATGTAAGAAACCATCACAGCCAATCGCAGACGTTTAAACCGCGACATTTATACCTTTATTGCAATACTTGCACGATGCAGCGCGTCCCAAAATACCCGCAACATTTTATTTGCGAGGCTCTAGCGTCGCCGCGGAAACACGTACCGCCATTATTTTTTAATCATTTTAAAGCTTTGAATCTTAACTTTATCCCAGGTAAGTATTGGTTTGATTTTCAAAAGGGTTTGGAAATGATTCGTGTTCAAATAAAGGCATGTCAAAAACAAACTCAACCGATTTCAAGGAAAATCAATCATGCGCATTTTTTCTAATGTTGAAATGGTTCATCATGTTCATGATGTGACGATCTCGTAGCCTTTTACTTTCTGTGCTTCCTATTTTTTTCGATCCACGTAAAATACACCTTAACTGAATTCACAGTATTGTTTTTTTTGTTTCAAGTTCAATTTTGAAATTCACGTGCAAGTGTGTACCTATTCAAAAAGCGCGCTCAAAATGTGAATCGAGTTTGCATCTGATGAACCGCATCGTCGATTTGCCATGAAATCGGTTGAGTTTGCCTTTATTTGAACAAAAATAAGTTTAAAACTGTTTTACATATCAAACCAATACTCGTCAGGGATAAAGTTCAGATTCCAAGCTTTAAAATGGTGGCGGTACGTGTTTCCGTGGCGACGCCAGAGCCTCGCAAAATAAACTTGCAGGTATTTTGGGACGCGCTATAGTGTATAATCAAAAGCTATAATGAAGCCATATGAGTTTGTCTCATACGTCGGCGTACGGAATCCGCAGACACTAGAGATCATGTCAAAATGATCTGCGTACGGGAGACGTGTACAATCTTAGGGAAAGTCCGCTGACTACATCACCATTTTGCGTGGGTATGTTTTCAGGTCTAGGCCTACACGTTGCCGATAGTGTGCCCGAAATTTTATACCGACATAACATAGTGAGAAATCGGCAACTTGTTTTTCCTAGCCGTATACGCCTCCCGTACTCGCATCACGAGGGACCAATGTATACGCGTACGGGACACGTAAGCAGCTAGGAAAAGTCACCTATTAGATCACTGTTTTGGGTGATAATTTCACCAGACTTACATAATACATTGCAATGTTTTAATGTGAGATGAACATTATGTCTATAGTGTGTCCGATGAAATAACAACGCAAAATTGTGATTTAGTAGGCTACTTTTCCCAGCCCCATACGTCTCCCGTATATAGACGTACCATGGATTATGGTATCTGTACCTGATGGTCCATATTCGATGCGAAACCCATACACTATAACCTCAAACTGTACGTGACTGTATGTGTAATTGACCTTTAATGCGAGACTTGGCCATATGCAGAATACGGGGCTTCCGGCTGTGTATCTCCATTTTTTCCTCTCTGAGTGATCGCCAGCATTCCTAATGTTGCTAGCATCGTGACTTTGGGCATAATCCCTGGCCACAATGTGAAAACTGACTTGTAGCCTTTTTTTTATTAGTTCCCCGTGACCGAGAAAACGTTGACAATTTGTAAAGACTACAACAGCATACGGCTCATAATAGCTCATTCGGATGAGCGCTGAATTGAACGGTGTCCATTATAGGTTGCAAGTTGGAATCCAGATTTGAGTCGACATCTATTAAATGGGAAAATCGGTATCCCCGTCCAGTCTTCTCCTAACCTGAGCTCTCAGAACATGTTGTGTCCTTATAGGGGGGAAACAAGCGAGAAAATCTCTTCACACCAAAAAGGAATTTTAAAAATTCAAAACTGCTTTCATGTTTTCTGTGAACATTTATACAGTTTATTTCATATAAACAAATTCCTAATTAATCGATTATTAAATTGTGCCGTGATCACTAGTGCTAGAAACATAATCGCTTTGACATTCTAGTCCATATATACAAGCATTAAAACACTGGCCGGATGATCTTGTGTTAATTAGAAACCTCTGGTGTTAATTTGAAAACAAAAGCTGGCAATAAATCTCAGTTAATCTAATGTGTGATACGAACATGGAAACATAAACAATGGGGCTTTGTATATAAGCTCTATAATGCTAGTTTGGGTAAACTGTCCAACTGTTGTTTTTGAAAGCACTTACGCGACTTTTTTAAGCCGAACTTGACTCTCTCATGATAAAATTGAAATGAAAGTTTAGAAAACTTTCAATGAAGTTCCCAAGCAAGTCCATCTGTTTTCAAAACGGTTTGGAAGTAGCTTTTCTCATCGTAAGTCAAAAAAATATATATCCTAGTCAATTTCCAACTATTCTTTGGTTTCAGTGGAACATCTGACGTATAAAGTCAAGAAGTGAATGAACATTAATTGGTCAGAAATCAATTTTGGGGGCAGTCTATATCCACACGAACCGAACACCTTACAATAGGGATTCACTAATAATTGTCACTCGTTGGATTGAGCTGATAAATCAAAACGGTTGGAGTATTCTATATACCCATTTACATGAATTTGGAGCCCATTTAAATTGGCCATTCACTATAAGTCTGTCTTTCAGATATTGGGGAAAATCACTTTTTGGTACAAGAGTCTTCTCAAGTCAACCCTCTCTCAAGGATAGAAAGCCGCCCCTCTCTGCTCGTCCCCAGAATCAAGCTAATTCCTACCCTCGAGGAAGTTTGGAGGAAGTTTGGACCTCTATATACAAAAGCCTTCGTGTACATTATTTATCGCCAACCTAACTTATCGTAAAAGTTGCCATCTGAAAGGCACACAAATCCTCTTGAAGGATATCTGCCCGAAGAAGGAACCCGTCAAGTAACAATGTGATTTCGATCAGAATCGCAGAAGTGGGAGAGGGAGAGAATAAGGACCATATTAAAAATTAAATAAACAACATCGAAATCACATTTCAACAATTTGACACAAACCAAAAAAAAACCAGAAACGAGTGTTATGTTTTGATACATTCGGCAATAATTGTCTTTAACATACGATCACTGAGTCCCAAGAATTGTGCACACTATTGGTCATTTCCCACAGACAGAACATGATGCAATAACTAAAAGACGCAACTTAGACCCCTCTTTGGGTTTTAAGAGGCACGGAGTGGCACAGTCGTACCGTTTTGATAGCTTCCTAAAAGTGCTCCAAAAACTCCAGTACGCAGGCCAATTATATAATGAACCCCCAAAGAAAATCAAAATCTGAAACATATTCAAGTCATGAATCTTTTGTTGGGTATTTTATCTAAAAGGTATGGTAAGGGGGGCTTCGGTAGGTACAGCTAAAGATCTAAGTGCTACGTGCTTTTCTCGACACAAGGTACTTAATGAGTTGTTTGTCAAGGGGGAGATGCCATTTGCCATCGGCCATTCCTGGTTCCATCAGATCACCCTCTCCGCCCGGTATCGTGTTCAGGATTTCGTTCAACTGTCTGTCTGGTTCCATGTCGACCACGTCGATAGGAGGCAGCACAAAGTTCCGTCCATAGCGAGCGTGGTTCCGATTGATCTGGCCTGTCGTAATGGCTTGCATCGCTGTAATCGTCAAAAAAAAGAAAAGGAAAGAGAGACAAGAAAACGGTCAAATTTGATCGAATCAATCGGTTACACTATAACAGACTAGTTTTCCGATGGAATCGAACGGTTTTCTGAGTTGTGTTGTAAGTAGCGACAAGTGTGAGAAATCCAACACTGCTGATTGAATAAGACTTATGATTGCCAAATTATGCCTTGTGCAAACAGTTGACGAGCTTGGTTCCATTATGATGCGATTGATTTCGTCTATCATTCATTTTCTCCCTGCAAGGTGGTATAGTTCGTGTTCTATACTCGCTTCTCGTCCTGATTCTTAGGGTCTTGAAATCGGGATAAATATCAGGGAGATAACCATCACACCCCTGATTATACAGCTAGGTTGAATGGCCCGGGGCGAGACTGTTTTTGATCCAGCTCCCTTAGCACACATAAAAAAACAGCCCGGGTGAATGGAATTCACGAGTTTGATTGATATTGAGGTGAGTACCGCTAGGCATTTCTGGACCGGAGAGGGATTCTTCATCACAAATTTAGGACCTTTAGCACATTCAGGACCCAACAGGGATTCCTAGATCTCATTCTTTTCTTCAAGGAAAACACGAAGGAATCCTTCTCTCGCGGGATATAAATTAATAATTACACGCACCGTGGTTATAAGGAGAAAGCTGTGCCACGGTTTAAGTTCAAGCGAGATCCCAGAGCTCTAATCGGATTCGGAATGGTGATGGAAAGTCTCAGCGACTGTGGTTTTGACTCCCTCAAGGATTCGAAATGACGGGGAATGTTAGAAATGTTTTTCGTGGCTTAGGTGAGAAAATGGTCACCCGATTTGGAACATATGAAGCAGCGTGAATATTAATTTCGATCGATGTTTAATATCTGTGTATGGAAAAAGTGCACTTTTGGATTATACGCTTTGGCACTTTGGGGCATCGACGATGATATGAAAGTGTGCTTCTTTCTGCGATTTTGGAGGATTAAAAAAGAAGTCAAGAGCACATTACTAAACAGTCTTAAGACTACGGCCGCCTTTTTGAGAAACAAACATCAAACATAAAAGGCAGAGTGCACGGTTGTCATTGTTGTAATGTTTTCATTGAATCAGCGAAAAAGATAATGCAGTTTATTAATTGTGTCAATGTTCATTAATATAACGAATATAATGCAGCTGAGAGAAAGAAATATTATAGTGTACTGCGTAACAGGTGCATTAATCCGGGGGAGGGGGACAGGGGTTATATATCTGTGCCCCCCCCCCCCCCGACTTTTTGACCAGGGTATAGGGTATTGGATCACCCCCCCCCCCCCCTACCACCACCACCACCACCACTGTTTCGTATTTTACAAACTGCCCAAATGAATGTATTCATTTTAGCACTGAAACATGGAGGGAAAAAGTACAAAAGATTTCAATGCGGCGTTTTGATGCAAGGTAAAGGCGCGTAAGCGCGCGAGTATACATAAGATGTACATCTGTATCATGAACAGCGCCCCCTAGTGTAATGTGGTGTCCAACCCCCCCTTCCAAATTTGGATTTTGGTCGTCCCCTATCCCCCCCCCCCCTCCCTCTCTCTCTCTTGCGGGCACAGATTTACGCCACTCCTGCGCTACTATCCATTATCTACACGTTATACTTTCGGAAGCCATCAGCAAATAACTTCTACCTAACTTCATTTACCCAAAGTATAATACCATTGTTGCAGGGAAACCTTGATAAAAGAAAAAAACAATAAAACTATGGATAGACCTTTTTGGATATAACCTTATACCACACCAAATGTGCAGAGAATTGGAACTGATGGCAAAATACTACCGTGGAACGATACTGCGTTGATCGATTTGTCGCGCGTTGTTTGTACGCGGGCGCTCTATTGGCGGCACTTAAGGCGGTACAATCACGCGAATTGGGTCGATCGGATTCCGTCCAAATAACAGCGCAGATAACGGATCGATTGCTATCTTTACAGGTTATGTTTTCAAGAAGCCACGTATCTTCGAGACCACCCTGGGAGAAGAACCAAGGGAAGAGAAAAACAGGGAAGAGTTGCAGGTAAGTCCGTGTCATTTTACTGCAAGTATTGACATCTTCAAACTGCACAGCAGCGGAATATCGGTTACATATTTCCGTTGCGTATTGTGTCGGGCAGTGCATCATTAGACACTGTGTCCAGACGGGTAACACATTAAATCTGATACCCCGGGTAAATATCACTATCTCTTTGGCGGACTTGAGATAGCTTTAGGGGATGGACGGTTCCCCCATGTGAACATGGGGATTTTACGGGTAATGATTAAGTAGCACGGTTTTCAGGATCATGTGCATTTCAAATGCGCGCTTCAGCCTGAAGATAAATATTTAGTAAAATGAATTCTTCAGATTAAAAAAAAGAAAAATTTTAAAGTGGGGTAATTATCACATTTTTGATATGGACTTTTAGAATACAAGGGAGTGCTTTTGGAAAATATGGATATGATTTTCATATAATACGATTATTATCTGAACAGTTTATACAACCCATATCCGGTAATGATATTATACGTTTATAGTTAACTTTCCTTACGTTCAGATGAATTTAATGGTCAACTGACAGATATATCTCATCCTGGGTTTGGTATATTGTAACTGATGATAATTATGTTATACTCGTAAACATTGTGACGTAGACTAATAATAATTCCCAAAGCCCGTATGGGGGATTGCTATTTTAGATTGTTTTAACACATTATGGTTTCTGCAGACATCAACTGTCATTAATTTTTGTCAACAGTGGGTCCATATAAAGAGGACAAATCCTGTCGCAATTTTTCTCCCTTAAAGAGAGATATATGTTTTCGTAATAACTTCGCCCTCCATTCGGACAATACGCAGGCAGACGGCTCAAGTTTCCTTTCCTTCCGAGTGTTTTAATCCTAAAGAACAAAACGGAACATTAAAAGAAAATGTAAATTGGTAACTCTGTCTGCATCTGCACAAGATGGAAGACAAAATACCAGCCCAGGCAGAAAAAAAGGAAAACAATCAGCGGAGAAATCGCGATTCAAGACGGTCAGACACGCGTAAACCGAGCACGCTCAAATGACTCTTTGAAATCAATCCGCCACTACTGGCTTCTGGAAAGAAAAAAAAGAGGAAGAGAAATATGACGTCTGGAATCGTACAGGACGGCTTTTGGGGGATGCTTAGAAGAGCCGCAGTTTGCATGCAGGCGACGATTATCATGGCACCGGGTGTCTGAGTAATAGTTGGCCCGTCTATCTTGGATGACGATTGGGGTCAGCTAACTGCTCATCTCAAAATGATTGTTTAGGGCCGTGGCCGGCTTTGAGACGGGAACTCGACGGAATAACTCAGCTATCGACGTTAAGCCGGTAGAGTGCGCCTGTAAATACCGGGATAAATCGGCCAATTGAGGTTCTCATCATGGAAATGTGCGATTTTTGTTTTCCTCCTGAATATTTGGGGAGAAGAAAGAAATCCACTGGATAAGTCTTAAGTCACGTCTGGTTGACGAAGAACATGGGAGACAAGTTGGCGTTCATGGGCGTGCGAAATGATGGAAGCCAAGTGATCATGAAGAATCTGTAAGAAGCTACGGTATGAAATGAATTAAACTGACTGGACTAAAAACGCAAACATATCTTTCCAAAAAAAATAATTAAAGTCGAAATTGATGCGATCAAAGCCATTAGCTCGACCAAATGAAATAGCGAAAAATACGCGGGTTGCTCTTTATTCCTTCTCATGTTTCGTATCATCGTCCAGCTAAAAAAAATACCGGAAATAGTTTCATCAGACAAATGACTCTTCTATTAACAAGTTTTTGGCAATTTGGAAGAGCGTGTCTTTGACTCGCCCCCACGTTCTCGATTCCGCAACGCGACCCGGGCGAAAGTGCGGGACTCGCTTCCGACGAGCGGGTCGTTCACCGAAACACGAACGTAACAGATGTGGACAAACTCGGCCGACCAGAATCATTACTAACACGATCAAACCAGGCTAGCTAATGTAACCCAATCGGACCGGATATTGCAGATAGCTTCGTAGTTATTTAAAAAAAAAAATATATATATATATATATTTTGTTCACACCAGCTTCCAAAATCATATTGTGTACTTTTTCTATTGAGAGTGATTTGAAATCACGTTAAAAACAAATAATGTTGAGTAACAAAAACTTTAAACGCCTTGCTTGCGCTTCAAAAATAAACAAATAAATTAAAATGTAACCTTTAAGCACCACAAGACGAACACATGTTTCACCCCCCCCCCCCCCAGCCAAAGGTCGCATGCATGAAACAACCACGGCAGGACATTCGATTTAATTAATCGTATCTTTCTTCCCAAAACGGAATGAGGTCACAATCGTGATTTGTAGTTTCCAGCGACGAAACAAATCCCTGTGTAAATTTGTTCCAATTCGCCACACACCAGGTGCTTGCAATTCGTACAATTTGTAACCCTATACAGTAAAAATAATTGGATTGGTCGGTATCTGGCCGCGCAAGGAATAGAACGAATTTCGAAACAAAACAAAAAATATTTAGCTTACTTCATACTCGGCCGACGAGTCCCATGTATCAAACAAAAATCGAATGAGGGGCTCATTTTACTTGTTACGGAACGGGTGGAAAAGAAAGGCTATCGTATTTCGTTTTTTAGACGATTTGCCGTTTGATTGCATGGTTACCAGTCTACCACTGACCTGGTTAAAGATATGATGCGTACACAGCTGCAAGCCTTGTGGGTACGGAGGCCGGTTAAATAAGCACAGTCCTCTGTCTTGATTAAACCTTCCTTTCCATTACAAGAACCCTTCGGTTTCTTAATATGTGTTGTAAACCGAAAATTACAGTAACTTCATACCGCTTCAGGGCTGGCAGGGGTATTGGCGAACATCGGAATGTTTCTGTAATGAAGAATTTCATTAAACTCCACGGCGATTTTTTTTTTCAATTTTTTTTTTTTTGGTTGTTGTCAAAGAAAGCGATTCCTTGAAGTGTCAACATGCACTTCCCGCGAGATACCTCGAGAGTTTGGCGTCGTGAAATGGCAAAGGTGCCGCGTCGACGCTCCCTCGCAGCGTTTATCAGACGAAAATTGGATTGGGGTTTAGTTTTCGAACATGACTCCCCGTTGCAATCGAATGGTGATTTTGATTTCAATAAATGCGTCTGGGCGGTCTCGGGACGCTTCCAATGCTCAAAATGAAGCGGCCACAAAGGATGCTCTTATTTTAACATCTTCTCTTTTGTTATAAGTAGTGTTATTGCCGGGGGAAAAATGACGGCGACCATCGAGATCGTTTGCGAGTTGTCGCCTGTGTTTCCGGGCTGCTGACAGCGGGGCGAAACGGGCGGCGAGAGCTAATTACCCGTATCGGTTCGTTCTACCTGTCTCATACCCGCTGCGTGTATTCGGTAATTGATACCGAGTCCAGACTGACCTCTTGTATCTGCCTGCAAGGGGAGAAATCTCCCTCATTCGCTTTGGTCAAATTGACTTCACTGGATCACTTGCACTCCGGAATTGAAATTACCATGTCCCTCGAGTCAAGCCTGGGTGTGGATATAAACACACTGCATACTGCAATGCAAGGCTTCTTCATTGCACTGTGATAGGCAGGGAAATTTCAAGATGAAGTTGAATTTGGTTTCTCAAAACACGGTGACGGAAGTGAGTGACTGAATTATCCGCTTCGATACTCGATCATTTTTTTGTGTCTGTTCTAATCATTGATTTACACAGGTGTTTTTTGGAAAGACACATTATTACAAAAACGCATCTATAACAACTTGAACTTTTTTTGATTGAGTTGCCGGAACCGAACATGCGTCCTTAAAAGCCGGAATTTCGCTTCACTTACACGTAAATATTTGGGTTGCGTAGCCCCGCACTATGATGAACTCAAAAAGTAACTGACCAAACGTGCCTATGTATATACGGCGTTTTGTCATCTTCAATACGGCGTTCAAGACTCATTGATTTTACACTAAAACTACTTGGTAGAGAATGCGGAACTGACATTAATGCAGTCTATTGATTTCCGACTGTTGTTACTTGCTGCCGAGCTTGTTCAACTGTTACAGGCTTCTAACGCATTTCCTCGACGTTCGCAAAGGGTCAAAGCACGGCTCTTTTCTTTCTCTTTGCGGACCCTTGCGAACTCAACGCATCGATCGCAACCGATAGCTTGGCATCGAGTTTCTATGCTATGACATAAGTCAGTGCGGTTTTCAATTGACTATGTAAATCGTGGTCTATCAAAGAACCTGACTAGAATTATTTCTATAGCCCGGCCGTATTGAAATCCAACTTCTGCTTTTTTCGCAAAGTTGGCCAAAATGCTTAGCGGTTGCTTTTTCAGCACGTTCAGAGCGGTGCTTGTGGTCATAGTTCTTTCCATTGAGTCAGAAAATTCCATTTTTTTGAAGCAGCACTTCCGGCTGAGTTTTAAGGTATCAACGATTATCGACAACATTTTCAGCATGTCGTAAAAACAGGCTGGCTGACCCTACGCTCAGCGGTCAAGTGATAAGGCATCATGTTGCACTAGTAAGCAGGAGGTCGTGGGTTCGAATCCAACCCGAGCAAGCAGGTGATTTTTGTCTCTTCTCACACGCTCCCAGACAGCACTGAGTTACAACTTGCTCATCAAGTTACGGCGGTGAAGAGCAAAACTCGATATTAAAAACTGCTATCTCCCGACGCATATTGCATTGCAAAAAAAAATCGACAAATCGGTGGAATCAAAAATAGAAACGTGGACTTCTACTTGGGAATCCGAGTACAACTTTGAATACAAAAAATAACACCCACATGTCATTTTAAGTTCTTTTCTGCCTCAATAAAAGTGAATTGTATGTGTTTTTATCCGATTAAGCCAGTATTGTCAACGTTGGCTTTAAAAACACACTTCGGGCATTTAGAACTGCGTGGTCTTTTAAAAATAAATCTCACTCGGAGCTATCGCTTGATAATATTATCGGATCAAATCATTTTTATTTAATCCTTCCGCAAGTTTTGACGGGCAACAGATCCGCTCATGAAAGACAATGAATTGCGCAAACGCAGGATGTGGGATTTATTTGTTGTCGTTATGTTTGATTCGACGTGCAAAACAGGACGCTTTTATCCCCCATCTCCGTCGTAGATAAAAGTGACCTGTCCCTCCAAGTATGTCTTGGATTATTGATGGAAATCTAGCTCCCCCGCGGAATGAAAATGTAAACACAAAATAGTCGTCACCCCCGCAGTCTAAATATTACGAATTGATACTTGACGTCCATTTCCGGTGTATTAACGGTTAAAAAAATAGACCTGGAGGTGTTCATTTTGTTATTGCGTTGAAGTGATAAGAAGTTAAAAAGTCTGATTTCGGAATTTTATTAATTGAAATAAATCGTTTTATTATGATTTTTCTTTGAAGTGAAAACATGTCGTCGGAATATAGGCAAATTTCGATAACCTCTCGGCAGCTTTCAGATCTGGTATACTGTTCTATACTTCTCTTCTCACCCCAAAGGAAACATCAAAACGCCAAGAACATCAAATTACATCAAAAACGCCATTATAGACTCCGGCAGCACGCCCCCTGCCAGTAAATTTTGCACCTCCTAATGGCCTTTAATAGTGGCTAGGCTTACCCAAGCTGAAACCAATACATATTCCTCAGGCGACTGTCTCCCTCTTAATACGTCCGATAAATTTCTCGCTATTTCAGAGTACGATTCATTAACACCCAATTACCCGGACTTTAGTGGTCCGTGGAGAGAAAAATTGGATGGAGCCGCTGGCGGCGAGTCCCTATCAACTGCCCCGTTCAACCTTCACGCAAGGTGAGTGCGGTGACTTTATCCTCCAAAAGAACACTGATTTTTGATTGAGTAACTCCAGCGGCGCACGCTTTCGCTCAAGGTGAAAACCTCGCGCCGTTAATTACCGTGTTTGACGGCCCTGGTGCCGTCACCAGATAGTGTTGTCTTGTTACAGACTGCAGGCCGGAAGATGTAAGGACACTCATGTGAAACGAACCGCGAATCTTGAAGTGGTATGATGGTATACCATGACGAGGAGATGATTGCAATTTTGAACCAAAAGATAATTGATTAATGAGCGATCGTTTTGGCCCGTACAGCTCAAGAGATAAAAGAAACTTGATTTAAATTGCACTCGTATATCTAAATTAAATATTATACTTTTTAAAATAATAGGCTTATAGTGGGGTTGTACAAAATGTATGTATATATGCATTGGCATTTGATCCTCAACATAACTATTTATCATACATTATAAACTGACTCAGTATTGAGTATAACTTTCGTCACTGAAACTTGACGATTTTTTTTTGACACGCAAAGGCTTAGTACGCTTTCAACAATAATTTCGTCAGTTACTTTTTGGATAGCTGGCAATGATACTCTACCTTTAAAGCGGCAAAATGATCATGGAGTTCATAATAAAATATGAACCAGGCTTTTCTCGTGTCGTTAATGATATTGGCAGTATTCTCTTTGCAAAAAAAGGGAGCGAATTCGCTTCAAATCAAAGCGAGAGACAGGAATGGTGTCAGGCGTCTTTAGGTGGATAACGGTTGCCCAGTAACCCCGTACCGGCGAGCCTGGCACACAGGGCTCACGGGGTGGAAATCCCCGTTCCTATATGCTGGCTCTACATGGGTGTTGATCCAGCCAGAAAGATCTTAATCATCAACAAACTCCCTTCCGGGTAGACGTCCCTACTTGCTCGTTATATTCACGTTGAAAGGGGAAAAAATACTCCAGGATACTGCTCAGTATCACGAATCAGATGTCAAATTTGTCACACATGAGGGCATGCATTCTCATTTTACATACTTATAAGTTTATGAAGGGAGCAGATTGAGGGTAATATCAGTCTTAATGAGAGAATGCGTTTCATTTAATAGTTGTCGTGGTTACAATGTAGGTTGTTTATTCCGTTTTAAAGCGACGGATATACAAACTTTAAAAAACAATCGTTAAATCACTGCTTCTGTAACCGTCAAACCCTCATGTAATGTTTTGTCAAATGCATTATTGTAGCTGTTGCCAAAGCCTGCCAAAGCGTAGAAGCCAATACATTTTCCTTATTTCGCCTTGATTTGTTGGGGGAGGTTCTGCGCAAAAACCTGCGTCATCTTTTTATACATTTGCCGCAAATATTTGCCCAGAATCTCCATGTAATTGGGTCCATAAGCCCTCACCTCATACATCGGCGTGTTGATTGTAAAGGATTCCTATAGTAACCTTACCTTTATCTCTCATGTCTGACTGTGCGCGCACCACGCAGAAGAGTCCCAGAAGCAGGAATAATTTCAAATCCATCTTTTGATGATCTACGAGAAAAAAAAGCAAACAAAACCTATAATTATGTTAGTTTGACTAGATGCAATGCAAAGGTTTACCCTCGGCGTAGTGTTCGCATTGGTGTTGAATCATTCCAAGCCCTTCAGGTATGTGATTGGGTGTTTTTTTCTGTTCTGTTATTGTCAGGGGAAATATGGGTTGACCCTTCAAAAGTGGCGGATTCGATTTTGGTCCAGTTTCATCAAAATTGACGTTGCTGTAAGAATAAGATTTGGTTGCAATAGTGCACAAACATTGCGTTAGATACGCCTTTATTGGTATATAAAGAGGGCTCATATTGTTAAAGGGGTATTACGGACTGAAATACCAAAAAAATCATGTTTTGGATTGTTCACTTATACTATTTAAAAGGTGTGATTGCAAGGAAACAAACCAATGTCTTATCGTTCCCGAGAAAAGACGGAAAAAACCGGTTGTTTACATCGGACGCGACGGACATTTTGTGGATTTCCCATACGCATTTCAAGTCGTGTCTGTTCAATGCAGCGTACCACTTGTGTGTGTGGTACATAATACACACATTTATAATACACAAATGTTGTTTCTTTAAACCAGAAAAAAGACAGAATATGTTGTTTGCTGGAATGCTGCTCAATCCAAATTGTGTCAGTTTTTGAGAAATGAGAACAGATGCGAGTTGGAAGTCGGTAAAATTAAAGTGTATGATTGGTTTACATTACAATAATCTTTGGAATTCAGTTTCTCTCGCGAAATCTCTGAACTCCTAACAAAGAATGTATTACCGGGGACATATTTTGTTCGCTCTTCGTTGATCGTATTTATTTCATCACTTGCCGAGTGGGGCAAAGGACCAAGCTAGAAAACGCTAACAACTTTTCTTCTAATAATCTTGTTTGGCAAAACAGGTGTCTTTGTTTGAACATTTTAACTCGGGTCCATAGATTTCCGCTCCAAAAGAGATCGGTTGTTTTCTCTGAATGTCTTTAATTGCAATCAAAGGATTTGCCTTCAGGCATTTTTTTTTTTTCATTCTCGGTACATGACTAATTTCAATTGTCTTCAATCCCCGACCGCCAACATGACAAGGACAGACGAGTATTATGGAGTCCGATTTCTTTATCAAGATTGATTTTCTAGTTTCTGTCTGTTTAACTCATCAAATCCGACACTGCGGAATTAAGGTGAAAAGAAGTCCGGTATTTTGTTTCCACAAATGTTTGATTTATGATGATGAAAAATTTCAATGTTACATGATGAAAGAGCAGAAACCAAACAAAATGCGTTTTCCTCGGACGGAAAGGGCCGAGAACAGTGAACTTTGTTGGGCTTTTATGTTCTTAACTGAAATGAAACCTGCTCCAAATTGCTTGCTGAATGGAGGAATTTACATTGCAAAAGCAACGACGGCCAGAATATTTCTTTACAAAAAATGTTTTTATAGTGTTCTCTTACAGACTTATTTCCAGGTAAATTAAACATGGCTGACTTTTTTTTCCTTCGAGTTTATAGTCTGTAATGCGTTATTTCTGGAAAATATCAGGCTCAGATTTCGTTCAATTTGAAGTTGCTGAAAGTACGCCCGTTTTCAATCAAAACACGCGAGGCGTTTTAATAACAAAATCGGCGTCGTTGGCGTCGATAATTGACACGGCCTTTGAGCCAAGGTCAAAAACTTCAAAAGTGGGAAACAATAGCGCGATAGGCTGTGACAATATGCCACTCAAGTGTATATCAGTTAGTAAACGGTAATGAATCGCACCGCGCGCATTCACAATGCAGCGTCCATGGACTGAGCTGAGGCGGCGAGTCCATTACATTGATGATTGCTGTGATGTCTTCCCGCGTTTCGCGTGGTATTGCGCGGTCGCTCAATCGTTTCAATCAATTCAACCATTCCTTTGGGAGTGGTTAAAGACCCGTCAGGATTAAACAATCGTGAAGGCAACATGGAACTGACTATGAAATTCAAAGAGGGACTGATGGAAAATCAAGGAATTCGAATAAAGTCTCTCTACAGAGATGTATCGCCGCTGTGGCGAACAACACTCTACCGAATATTCTGCTAAACCGAACGCCCCTTTAATTTCCAAAATGTAATGTACATTGTACGAAATTATACACTTCATATAATCTTCATTTGTGCTTTGTTTTCAACGTTTTCTACAACTGATCTGTGCTCTACTTTAATAACAAATGACCCAAATTTAAGGGAAATTGTGAAAACGAATACTTTGGAGTGCTGGTATTAGATGTTTTCGAATGACTGGATTGTTATACCTCTACCCATATCCCTAACCCAATACCCGAACCGATTACATTTCGGATATCTATAGATCCCTTGCATCGCAGCCATCTTGAAGGGTGCTTTTGTTCCACAAAGATGGGTCGACATTAAGTGCATTCATTGTTACTGAATTAAATAACAAAACAGAAAAAAACTCAGAGATCGCTGCATGCTGAATGCAAAAGAATCTATAAATGTCGCCATTCCGACATGATTGAGATCAAAATAACTGACCCTTGAGACTGCATACGGGGCTAAATTGCCGATAACGCAACATCAATTTAACAAATGTAATTGAAGAGGGAATTTCCTCACAGCAAAATATTACCTAAATATCACGTCTCCTAACTTCCTTTTTTCAACCTATATAGCACGTCAGACAATTTTGTTTCACGCCTAGAGGGGAACTTTTTTTCTTGGCGCGGAGGTGCACATTCTAACAAATTTCAATCAGCGGTAAGCGTGTCGTTTTATTTGCTTCTCCGCCAAAAACGCCTACCGTTATTTACTTTTAATGTGGCGCATTTTCTTCGCCCGGTAATTTACTTCAGCCGCAAACAGATGTGACAGTTTTCAATTCTCCATTGGTGCCTTGGTTTATCGGGTGCAATGTGGACAATGACTTCAGATATGTAAAACGATACGTTAACCATATACAGAAATCACAATTGCAATGGTAAAGTCCCGTTGCTTTGTTCGAATCCGTATTTCGATCTTTTAGTTATCCGGGAAAGTCGCTTTACAGACCTATTGGGCGTCAAATCAACAGAGCATTTTGCATATGGGCAAGTCTACGGTAACTTTCGTTACATTAATTTTTTAGGCACTTTGAGACGCAAAAAAAGAGTCTCACAACTTAATGCATTGGTTTCAACAGTCAGACTTTTTGTTATATTTGAACACTGTAGCATGGTCTGTTTGAACGTATGAATAGCGTTCTTTCGTTTTGGACGGTTAGCCATGACGGTTCGTCATGACAGCTCGTCATGACGGTCGTCCTGGCAAATCACATTCCTCGCTGAAACGAAGGGGCGTGATCAATGGATCTTGGCCAATCAACTGGCTCCTCTGTACGGTAAACTTTGTCGTTCGTAATAAAGACTTTAGATTATTGTTCACATAACTATTATGGAACACACACACACACACCTACCCGCCAGGGACTGCCACGTCGAATGCCATGGGCGTCGCCAGGATTTTTTTCTAGAGGGGGGTAAAGCACATTTCGCCCCTCCCCCCCCCCCAAAAAAAAAAAACACCAAATACCTGTACTTTTGCCAGCATATTCTCAATTTATCATTTTTTCGAGGGTGGGCATGGGGGCATTTACCCACCACTTTTTAGATGATAAAAAGTAGTAATTAAGTAGTAAAGTCTGTCAGGAGCAAATGCGGCCCATTGGGCCATGGGCAGCGCCGGCATTTTGTCTCCGGTTTCAGAGAATATTTCTATTCCCCCTGGATGGGATGCTAGTCCATCGCAGGTTACTCCCCAGTTAAATGCCGGCACCCATTTACAAGCCTGTATGGAGAGGGTTACCGCCCGATAGTCCGAAGGTTCGATAGTCCGAAGGTTCTTTAGTCCGAAGGGTCATTAGTCCGAAGGTTCGTCAGTCCGAAGGTTCAATAGTCCGAAGGTTCGATAATCCGAAGGTTCGATAGTCCGAAGGGCTCATTTGTCCGAAAATAGAATAAGGTTAATTAATCCGAAGGTTCGATAGTCCGAGTAGACGATAGGGTTCGTTAGTCCGAATCGACAATAAGGTTCGATAGTCCGAATTGAGAATATGGTTCGATAGTCCGAATGGGCAATACGGTTCGTCAGTATGACACTTCGGACTATCGGACCTTACCGTTGATTCGGACTATCGGACCTTATAGTCTTTTCGGACTATCGAACCTTATTGTCAATTTGGAATAACGAACCTTCGGACTATTGAACCTTATTTTCGTTTCGGACTATTGAACCTTCGGACTGATTAACCTTATTCTAAATTCGGACTACCGAACCTTCGAATAAATTAACCTTCGGACTAATGAACCTTCGGATTAATGAACCTTCGGATTATTGCATCAAATGTTCGGATTAACGAACCTTATTTCATTTTCGGACTTACGAACCCCCTCTTATGGACATTTTGTGCATTCGGACTATCGAACCTTCGGACCAAAGAGCCTTCGGACTATCGGACCTTCGGACAATCGGGCGGCCCCCGTGGAGAGAGGCAAGTGTGGATGAAGTCTGCCCTAGGACACAACATACGGCCAGCAGCTGAATTCGAACTCCTGACTCTCTGATCATGAGTCACAAACCCTAACCACACTACGGCACAAAAAAAGGAGTTTGACCACTGCTTGCTCAATTGGAAATTGGTTGCTGCCTCGGCAAATAATATGGAAGACATAATCTAACTTTTAAAGCGCATTTCTGGTGCTGCACATTGCTACCCGGAAATAAAAACGTCAAACTTCAATTTGGAGATTGAAGGAGCCTCTAAAGTCCTTGGAGTTAATGTAACACATGCCTATCATCTAAAAAATACACGTTTTATGGCTGTTTTGTCATTGCACAGACGTAATAAAATGATATTCTGAATTATCGATGGTTCGTGGCTAGACTGTACGAATCATTAATTTTCTGCATAAGCAACAAAATATGTGGGGTTTTTTCAAAAAAAAATGAATTTTGTGGCTTTTTGGTCTTTGCAGGGCATAATAAAAGTTTGCTCTATGCTAACGAAAGAATGGTTCGTGGCCACATTGTAAGGACTCTCCTGCATTAAAGTATGACAGGAAATAGTGAGGTGATTACAATCAGTTTTGGCCAAAAAAAATAGAAAAAGTTCTCTAAGGATATCTGTATAAAATAGGTCCTGGTAAGTAGAGATTGACGGAGCCTCTAAAGTCCTTGGAGTTAATGTAACACATGCCTATCATCTAAAAATACACGTTTTATGGCTGTTTTGTCTTTGCGCAGACGTAATACAATTATGTTCTGAATTATCGAAAGAATGGTTCGTGGCTAGACTGTACGAATCATTAATTTTTGTGCATTAGCAACACAATATGCTAATTTTCTCAAAAATATAATAATAATAATGCATTTTGTGTTTTTTTGTCTGTGCAGGGCAAAATTAAAGCTTGCGCTATTATTTTTTGGTCCAATTTTAATAGTTTATAAAATTAGGCAGCTGCCGAACGGCGGAGGGGGTTGCAACCGCCCCCTCTAAATCTGATACTGTAGAAGGAGGCTTGTTGGAAATGAGAGGGTCAAATTATTGTCCATTTGTCTTTGAAGAAAACAGTTGTTCTTCCTCGTTTCTACTCATGAATATTAATTTGTGATGACAATTTTTTTTAAAAGCCAGCCATCCAGTCAAAGTATGAGAAGCAGAAAAAAAGCTGCCTAATACGTGATCTATTTTTTTTGGTTCACATTATGACTTCTTAAAAAACAGAAACAGTGTCGGTAGACTTCAATTTGGAATTTGACGGAGCCTCTGACTCCCTGGAGTTTATGTAACGTATGCTTATACATCTAAAAAAAAAATACATGTTTTCATTATGGCTTTCTTGTTTTTGCAGGGCGTAAATAAAAAGTTTTGCTCTGAGCCAACGAAAGAATGGTTCGTGGCTATATTGTACGAACCGTTGAAACTTCTCCGTTTAGGTATGAGAGCAAAACTGGTGAGGTATCATTGCAATCAGTAATGGCGGAAAAAAGAGGAGTGTATGAAATAAAATAATTCTTGTTTTATCGCCCTGGGTTTGTGGTGCGTGTGCCCTTGGGCAAAACATAATAATTATGATAATCGGAATCATTGTACACAGAAAAAGAAAGAAAAAAGTTTGTAAATAGCATTGGTTTTTTTTTTCTAATATCGTCAGATAATGTTGTGTAGATTCTATAAATGCAACATTATAAAATAGCCCTGTTGCCACTTCAGTGTGCAGTTACCCCGACAACGGTTCCTTAAAAACCTGCGTCTTACCGTTGCCAACCTACTTGGAGTATTTTCATCACGAGTGGAGTATAAAATGTGCGAGGTAGCACAGGAGATATAACCCAATAAAGATCTCATTTCCCTTCGACTTATTAGTGGGCATAAAATACACCCTTTAGTTGACGGCGGCTGCGCATCCTGAAAAAATAAACAACCTGCACCCACGCACCGGCAGTAAAATGTCCGCCAAAAACTGTAATATTCTCACAATCCCAATCCATAACACTTAGGGTTGGTATATGGCCGTGTACCTTACATCTTCAACCGGCTTCACCTGCACACGAGGACAATTGGGACGGGTTTATGACAAACCAAGTTCGCTATATGCATTAGGCCAGGACCGCTTTGCGGCAAGAAAACACGTTTCTGCTCTTAAATTCCCGTGTATTGAAAAGGAGAAAAGCAGGAGCTTAAACTTGCTAGGAAAATGTCAGGTGAATTGAGAGGACTGATCTTGTTACCCCCGGGTGTGTCTAATAATGCTTCTCAATTCGCTGGACCTCCCCCTGTCTTCGATCAAGCTCACATCAGCCTCAGACAGAATTTACGCGAGGATAAAAAAACACCGCGCTCAAATAATTTGAACAACCGACCGATGCGCGCAGTGATTGCGAGCTATGCAAATTGACACAATGTCTTGACTGGATAATATAGACTGGGTTCTTTCCCCAATCGATAACACACACCTTTTAAGAAAATTGTTTTCAACTCCATGAATGGAACTGTTTTTGCTGTAAGTTGTGCAAAGTAATTCTCGCCACTTAAATACACAATGTTGAAAATAATGTCTACTTCGTTTAGAAGTCGCTACATAGTGACTGTTTAGAATTCTTGTCTACTTTTACTAGACAGAGTAAATTCCAAAGGGTTGAAATCACATCGTCCATTCAAGTTGCGATCTGACCGTCGAGGAGTATCAAAAATTGTTACAGATACGTTTTTAGAATGACACTGTAACTTATTCAGATTCTTTGTATAGCTCTATTTTGTTGTCACATTCGGAGTCAGTAAAGTTTTGCCATGAATTCTCAATAAAATTCAAATTTTGAAGTAGAGCTTCTTACTGACGTATCGATGTTGCGAAACAAATTACTAAAATATGGATCGACGAATTTCTATCGTTGCAAAGGAAAGTTTTCAAAGTACTGTCAAATATTATTGTGTAGGTAATCCAATTTGATATTACTATACCGAAGTGAAGACAAAGCAGTCAGTGATAAAACAAAACTTTAAACCATCTAAAAATCTAAAAACCATTGGCCTACCTGTTTGCAGCTCGGCTTAAGAATAACAAATTCTACCGCAGTTTATTTTCAAGGAACGAACGATGTGCTGTGTTGTTGCCTGTCTCCCGTCTGTGTTTCTGTTCCGTCTTCCGCCGTTCACCGAGCTATGTTCACCGTTCTGCCGTCCGTGTTTGTACTGCTCTGCCGAGGTTCAGTTTCTTCGGCTGTCAAACTCACGGCGAATTATATGAGAATCCACCGCAAAGGTTTACGAGCGCTGTGCTGACGTCACGGGTGCGTCACGTGTCATCTGCCTTCTCTTTCAGCCAATAGGGAGTCGTGGTGGCACAGGAAGCAAACGCGTGTGACGTACTCAATGGACACACACATTGCCAACGCCGCGTTGGTATAATATTGCAACCATTGCCTAACACAGCGTACTATCCTTGTTTCCAAAATAGCAACTTTGTTTATGAGTCTATCTTGTGTGGCATAATCAACAACTATCTATATATGGTGTTCCAAATCTTTAGGCGCATGAGTCTTTTTACATTAATATTGTTTGATAATAAACAACCCATAAATACATGTATTGGTATTTATTACAGAGCTACAATCCCTTCAATATTGTTACCAAGTCATCTGTAAATTTCAGCTACATTTTTGTGCTATTTTTCACATAAAAAAAATAACAATTTTTCTCTATGTTGTGTTATAAAAACGTATGGAAGTTTCATTTACTGCATATGCGAGTTACGTTTCCCGTTATTTTACCAAATTAAATGTAACAAGAAAAAATCAGTGAGACTTATATTTGTTTACAAGTACAAATGCTTGCGTGGCTTTAATGCTTGCCTATAGTATTATTTCTGGTAATTTAGGCCTACGGGTTTTTCTGTATTTATTACTTGTCAATACTCTTATTTATAGGTACAGAGTAGTGTGTTTCCTGATTGTTTTGCTTTACGATGCTTACTAACCTTTACTGGTGATTGCTTTCGATTTTTAGTTCCATTTCAATACATGCCATTGACAAGCCTATGGCTATATGGACTTTTAATTTAATTTCTTTCTCTTTATTTGATTATTTTCTCCAATATTTCGTGTATTACTATATTTCATCTTGAATGTACATACATCTTGTTTGTTTGTTTGGTTTTGTTTGGGGGTTTTTTGCTTGCTAAAATGCAGGTTCATACCTGACACGTAAGCGAACTCGAACGTGAATTTGTGATGTCGTGTCAAGCATTCGCAAAAGTTGAACACATTTAAATCCCGGCGAGTTCTGCAGCGAACGTTGCCTGACGTCATTACCCTGACGTATGAACCTATCCCTATGGTTGGATACCAACCAATGTTAAGTTGAATTGAAACTTCGAAATTAAATGTAATGGTTTCTCCGATATTCTGCACCCATGCGTAATGACCATACCTTAACGTCACATCTGACGTCGGGTAGAGGTTTGACCAGAGAAGGATGCCATTTTTTTAGCCTTGGTCACCAAGGCTTACCAAGCAACCCGTAATGGGCGTGCAGGGTAATTTGGCCTAGAAAATGTCTCTTAAAACTTCCGATATTGCCCATAAATCCTGATAATAATGTCCACTACGCCATGGAACAAGTATTCTAATGTTAATTTATACAAAATTACATATTTGACCGAACTGAAATTGAATTAGGCCTAACCACTGTAAAACTGGTGATATTTCGGTCTCAGTATTCCGTAAACCTTCAGAAGTTTTACCTGAATTGTTAAACAAAACGTTGTAGACGTTGGCTGATCGTTGATTTGGTAGACATCGCTCTGTCGCTTTGAGTATTTCTGTCCCGGGTGACAAATCACCTTCTCCTGGGATTCACCATTTAATTGAAACTTCAATTTGCCAGTGTGTGCCGTTAGAAATGAGTGATTGAGAATAAAACATAATATGTTTACTTTGCGCAAATGATCTTGCTCGACGAGCCATTATCTCCTCTGTGTCTGGAAACCGGCTGTATATAAAATGTGGAATGGTGCATTGTATGTCTCGAAAGGCATTAAGATTGTGAAACTTATAATCAGACTTGAGAAAGATAATACTTAATTTCCCAGAATCTCTTTCAATAGTTTCATATTTTGCCTTTATTTGGTTTCATTAATGTATTGGTTTTGCTGGAACGGAGAGCTCTGCAGGAGGCACATTATATTGCCTGGGGAAAAAATGTTTCCGAGTTTCTCGTCCATAGTTGCATTTTGGTGGTTAGGTGAGGTAATATTTTGGCATGCATTTGAGTAATTTAGTTAATACACAGATGAATTGAAGGCTCAAAAGATTTAAGGCTGAAAGATTTCTCAGAATCAAAATTCTTGGGGGCTGAGAAGCAGTGGTGACTGTTTCTTTAAGTGACATGCTTGTTGTCGTGTTGGGGCGTCTAAAGGAGTAGGGACAGGGAAAACAGGCTCAACATAAAGGATGATTATTGTCGACGGTTGTCATGCAAAAGCACCAGCATGACAACCACAACCAACACACAATTTCTAAACTACAGACCCTGAAAGTACGCCATTTTGTTTTGGAGCTTCCGGACTCCTCCGTGACCCTTCTATGTGCATTGGGGTTGCCTTTTTTCTTTTTTTCTTTGACAGAATGATTTCTAACCGTAATCACCCTGAGAAGCATTCATGTTTGAAGTTTATCTTGGCATTCCACAAGAAAGAAATGATGAGAAATCAGTTGGAGATGGGTAAAAACGAATTTAACTTTACTTCACATTCGGATTTTCGTACCTACGTCTCCTTGTTCGATCACGTTTGTTTTCACGCCGTGCACTTGCGTGAGAACGAAAATGCTAACGACGCGAAGATTTACCTACCTACGTCCGATGGATTCTAGATTTACTCGTGCTCGCCTGAATACAGTTCTTAAATAATTATCAAAAAGGTCGTTTTATATTTGTTTTGTAAATGAGAACTAGTCCTTCAAGTTAATTCAACAAAATTGTCTGTCCCAAAAGACATGTTAGTTTCCTATTTCAGTTGCAGTTTTTTACCCAATGAATGCCACAACTTTATTATTTCATCAATTTTCATCATTGTACGAGTGCTCCGAGGTCCACTAGTCCACATGTATTTCAAATGTTAAATATGAACAAAGAATGGGAGGTTTGCGTTAACATCATGTGAATAACATTCCTATTGAGTTGTGTGGGTCTGAAAAGAATGGTCAGAGTATACACATGAACGAGTATATGTATTTGACACTCCTCTTTGCCACAAATCAGATCTTGGGTCGGGTTGGAAATTGTCTGAAAACCTGAATATGGGTAGTGCCCAGAAATGATGATTGTAAGCATGCTTTGTATAGGCTACCATTGTTGTCCATAATCAAAACGAAAATAATCAGGACATCTACCGGAGAGGTTTAACTCAAACATTAAACCTTTCGGCTATAACCCGTAAGTCTGTATACTTTCTCTTCGGCGAAAGCCAGGATTCGACTCGCAGTAATGAGGTCGACGGAAATCGTTTGTCTTTTTTTTCCTTCACTTCTCCGTGCAGTTTCCCAAAAGCCAGCATCCTCACCGGGGTATTCCAAATGGTTTCCCCCGTTTGATAAATGGCCCCAGCAGCCACCTTAAATCTCCTCATTCCGTGAGTTTAATTTCCATCAATATGACTCGCTGGGGCCAGACTGGCGTGATTATACTCGAAGCTTGCACGTGACGTGGGCAACAGCTTTCGTCTTGGAGTATCTCGAGAGAGAAGTCAAACAGATGTTCCTGGGGAAAATTACTCTCGATATCGGCTGAATTTCTAGAGTGAAATCAAGTTTCGGTTACGAAAAGGGTAGCAATATGTAATGAAAAAAAATATTGGTTGCTTCAAATACAAAATTACAGAGAATCAAAAATTGGATCAAAAATGAGACATCTTGAAAATGCATTAAAGGTTACCCGAAAATGAACCAAAGACTTGTGAAAGTTTCGTTATACCATTGTTCAGTGTGATAAAGTGGAGACATATATATTCCGAGTTGCTGACTTTTTATATAATAGATATGAGAGATTTATTTTTTGAGAAACCTGGACTTTTGTGTCTAAATATTTTCATTGGTATGCAGCAATTCATGGTTGATGTTAAAAAATGTGGTGTTTAAATTCTTCTTAGTACCCTGTAATTATGCTCAATTCCTTTGTATCCAGTTTACTGATTTTGTTAAATATTTTTTTTATTTCTAAAACTTATAAGCTGAGTATAGCTGAATAAGAAAATCTTAAACGCGAGGTGTCGGAATCTTATAAATTGCCGTCATTAAAAAATGAACACTTTTAATGTATTATCCCAGTGAACTCACCTGCACATTTTCTGATCATTACTGTGGAAATAACTTAGATAAACGCACTTAATGACTGGTATACGATATTTAAAATGATTCATTTTAAATGATGAATCGACCTTGGTTGACTATTAAGCACACTGACGGGTCTTTCTTTCCCCATTAATTAAAGTCTTGGCACGCTATGTCGTCGCAAGGGTAAAGTAGACATCGAATGACGCCCAAAGCTCGAGACTAAAAAGACTTTTGATATCTATATGAATGGTTTTACCGCATGTCTTCATTGGCGGATCTGTGGGGGCGATGGGGGCCATGCCCCCTTTTTATCGTAGGAGTGAAGACACTTTTTTTGTCTTAAACTTTCAGGAAATTAATTAGAACGTTGCATATCTCCCTCGTAAGCCATCTTTCAAATTCCTAGTTAACTTATGTCAATTGTTTCTCCACATAGTAGTAAAGTATAGCCCTTTAATCATGTATGGTGAACAAAAGCTTAGTGAAAGTCGCAAGAATGGTGATATTATGCTCATTTGTATACAAGTCACCAAAATCAGGCTTGTCCACGTACTATTCTATGTAAATTGGATGTTTTTGTAGTTCACAAAAATTAGAAACCTTGGCAACAAAATGTTTTGACCTGGTAACTTTTATTGAGGCTTTTATTGATTATTCGTGTCAGTGTTAAGATCATGTACCCCTGTAGGCTCAAGTTCGTTGTTGCATAACATTACACAACAATCAGATGTCACGGTTGTTACACTTTCAAATGTTAAAATGGGCTTGTTTTGTCTTCAAATCAAGCTCCGATGCTGAGCTCAGTCAAGCGAATGGAATGTATACCTCCGTGGAAAAAAAACAGGTTTTGCACATGAAATGTTTAAACTACCACAGCTCACTCAGAGATAAAATA